GTTATATTCTTTATCTCCTCCTCATCTCTACTTCCACGACCCCCACACTCATCTCTTCTTCTTTACCCCCCCCCCTTCTGCTCCACGCCCACCGTGACCTTACCTGGGTCAAGCAACTTTAAAAGTGTATCAGTTTCGAAAGCAAAACCAAGCGCTGAGTCACACTCTGCATTCCCTTTCACTTTCAACTAGGAGCTTCCTGAACTGATTATTATACACGTGACCTTTTTTTTTTTAGGGGGAGAGGGGGTGATGGTTGCTGAAAGGTGAGGTCAGGTCGACATTTTTCTTTTTAAATTAGAGTTCACTTGATGGAAACTGTAGGTCTCTCCTTTGATACCCACGATAAATTTGCTTTCTAAACAAGATTTATCTGTAGCGCGAATAATAATGATGCCATCATCATTATCTTTATAATCACCGATATCGTCATCCTTATCATTACATCGCTATCTCTATTATCATTAGAGTCATCACTATTAGTCTCATTACAATTATCATCATCACGGCCATTATCAGTACCACGAATGACTTTTTTATAACCATGGTCAGCATTAACATTATTACTATAACCTTATCTTATTTTGCCAAATCAACATCATAGAAAGGCGATGATGTCCTGCGGTTGGTGTGTTTATAGACGACGGAAGTGACATCTGTCAACAATGGCGAATGTCTATCCAAATATAAGATATATCATTTTCTGCTCATTTCTTCCGCTTCTCTCTTTCTCTTCCATTTATTTCCCTTTCTCCCTATCCCTTCCTAATCTTACTTTTGCTCGCCCTTCTCCCTACTCCCTTCACACGCTCTCCATCTCTTTTCTTGCCCCCAGCTCTCTCCTTCTCCTCTCTCCGCTCTCATTCCCACCCTTATTGTCTCTTTCTCTGCGTCTTCCTCTTCATATCTTTTTATTTGGGATTTCTGAGTCGGGTTGATTTCTTCAGAAAAAATCAATGTTACATATTTATCTATATATTTATACACACACACAAATATATATATATATATATATATATATATATATATATATATATATATATATATATATATATATATATATATATATATATATATAATATATATATATATATATAAACCTCTTTACAGTTCCTCCTTTCTTAGCTCTCTATCTTCGCCTTTAAACTCTTCCCTCTCCCTACCAAGCCCTAATCTTCTTGCCCATCACTCTAATCCGCAGATGATTCGCCAAGCACTGCTGCTGCTATGTACGTTGGCTCTTACGTCGGCCGACTCAGTCCCCGCCCCTTCCTATGGGGCCCCGCCTCCTCCCTCGTACGGGCCCCCGCCTCCTCCCTCGTACGGGCCCCCTCCCAAGCCCACCCCATGCTACCCCGTAACCACCACGCTATATTCTACTCACGTTCAACAGGTGAGTGTGTTCTGCCATCAGCATTTCCTCTGAGCCTCCTTTTCGACGTGGTAAGAGAGAAAATGACACGGAAGAATATGCGATATTAGAGTTGGTGAAATAATTCTCATTTGTGATCTTATGATCCAATATGGCGTCGTATAGTCAGTCTCATATGGCCTGTTTTATTAATTTGCTCGTCCTTTGCAGGTCCCTGTCTACCAAACTCAGTATAGGACCCAGGTTGTACCCACCACGTTGTACCAAACGCAGTACCAGACACAGTACCAGACGGTGTACAAAACCCAGCATGTGCCAAACTACATCACCACCACCCTGTACCAAACCCAGTATGTCACCACAACAGCTTACGTCACTCAGTACAAGACCCAGTACCAGCCCCAATACATCACAACGACACAATACCAGCCCCAGTACATCACAACAACACAGTACCAGCCTCAGTACATCACGACGACGCTGTACGTTACCAAGTACCAGACCCAGTACGTCACAACAACTCAATACCAACCTCAGTACATCACAACAACTCAGTACCAACCCCAGTACATTACAACGACCCAGTACCAGCCCCAATACATCACAACAACGCAATACCGACCCCAGTACGTTACCACAACTCAGTACCAGCCTCAGTACATCACAACAACACAGTACCGCCCACAGTACGTCACAACAACCCAGTACCAGCCTCAATACGTCACCACGACGAATTACGTCACCCAGTACAAGACCCAGTACCAGCCCCATTACGTCACCCAAACCGTTTGCCCCAAGAAGATGGGCTACGGATACTGAGGCGGTTGGCGGAGCGAAGCTGGGAATCAGCTGGGAGAAGTTTTTGTTTGTTATCGGTTTTTCTTTCCTTTTTCATTCCGAATGCACAACGAGAATCGTCAAACTCCTTCAATTTTGTGATTTGCGAAATCATTAACTTATTAACTAACATGGAATGCATGATAATACTTAAGGATAAAGTGTTTTAGTTGATCATCTGTTTTGAATCAGGAAAAGGGTATAATGTAACAAGCCTACTGTATATAACATTTGTCCCAAACTTAAAAGAAATTATATGATATTTCGTAACACCGTGTTTCTCTTTCTCTC